GAAGGAGAAGGACCCTTTAACAAAGCAGATGAGTTTGCCCTTTGTGGCCACTATTGTTCCCATGCCTCGTGAGAACGTGCTCTCTTCTCGCGGAGGTTGGCTGACAAATTGTGGACAACTTGGGCAGTCTTCTTCCGTCACTTGAGTTAAATGGAAGAAACTAGTCTGAAGAGAGTATCTTGCAGACACTGCTTTAAGCTAACAGCGTGGGGGTGTGCGCTGTTTAATGCACTGTGTTTTCACAGTGTCTAGCACACCTGCCTGTCATCAGTGATCCATGCTGCACACGGCAATGGACTTGACAGCTGCAACCAACTCCTATACAAATGTTATTATAGTAATCACAGTGATAATGTTCCTTTGTTTCTGACGGTTGCAAAGCCACACTTTTAAAAGTCAATCTGCTGGAAAACAAATGAAACGAGAACATAGATAACATTATGCAGGAATGAAACAGTTAAAACCTCGTCAGTGTAAGCTCTATGTTAAGGTCACATTTATGGAATTTTACTTTCGTTAGACTGTGGGTCTGACTCATTACAGTTCAATAGATCCAGCTTATCTGTCCTGAGATCAAAGTATTTTTTTCCAATAAGAGTATACTTCCAATCCACAATGGTAACAAAGGGAAAAAAACACAAGTTTGAAGTAAATTTACTTTCTGCATCCTTCATATGAGTATTTGTTCTGTTTACTCGTGTCTAGACCTGCATTGCATTGTTTACATTTAGCAGATTAAGAATTTGCAATGTTGAACATCACTTCTGTATGACTGGCCAGATTTTTAGTTAATATTATATATATATCATATATAATATAATAAATATAATACATATTATATATATATAAATAATACTGCTATGTATAGTTATGTTTATACTGATATATATATTAAACAGTATAACTAGAAATTGTATGAATTGATATATAGAAATTTTTAAACAAAAACTCTGACTATCCTGTGATATACAGAAGCCAATTACTTGGACCTCTTAGAATCAGACTGAGTGAAAAATAATTACTTGAAGGAACACTACAAAATGCCAAGCGTTTCTGTTCATTTTTTGTTATCAAATAATAGCATCAAAAAAAGCAAGAGCTCTTTTATAAAGAAAAATTATATTACATCATATTCAAAAGTAATGCTTTTTCTCTTCTGTTGCTTGCTTTCAGAAAATTCAGATTGCAATATCACACTTCTGTAGGACTTTCGTTTTTTTTTTTAAGAAAATAGACAAGTGAGAACCATTTATGTGTCTCTTCTTACAGCTGAAATAAAGGTTTTTTAATGACCATATAAAGAATTCCAAGATACTAGTTCTAATGACAGGGTGATTGGGTAACTTCATGACTAGATCTTTTATTTCAAAACATTTCAACATTACAAAACAGAAGTATTTTAAATTAATTGCCCTTGAGTTATGAAAGATTGTAATCTCATTTATGGAAATACGTCATTAATGATCCATTTCTTCACACAAGTGAAAAAAAATTACTATTTTAGGAAGTCACAGTATTCAGATTGAAGTTACTAGGTGCTAAACATTCCAGGCTCAAATAACCCAAGAAACTACCATCGCGTACTGGAGTTGAAACAAACACCGCTACCGCTGACAATCCTAGCGTTGAATCTCAAGAAATTACAGGCAGAAATTTTCTATAAGTGTTTTCTAGCTCTAAGCTACAGTACTTAGCTGAAGAACAAGCTTTCAGGGTTCAGTTTAAAACCTTCATCCCCAGGCTAGTCAGTCTGGAAGGACACACATAAAATATTTACAAGATGTGTTTCATGCCAACACATTGCTCCAGAAGATGAGAAGTGACGACTAGATTGTTCTTCGAGCTAAACCACCGCCTGTGGTAAGGAAGGTATGTTAGAAGCCTGTTTATATTCCAGGTCCATAACTCACTATTCAGAAAGTGCACACTCTCATCAGAACAGCATCCCGATTCACTGGATTTAGAAACCTGCTAGCAGCCAAGAGAATCACTGTGTCTCAGCAGAAACACCCTATGTTTTTGTTAATCTTCCTTGCAGATCACAATTTCACATCCAGCTTCTGGATGTTGGGGGTTGTTTCTGTTTTTCTTTTTCTTTTTGTTTTTGTTTTTGCAATCAAATACTAATAATTTAACCTGATAGTCCTCCTGAGCTCACAGAGAAGGAGAGTGAGGTATGACGGAGGAGCTTTCCTGCAGTGGTTTTTTCCAGAGGAGCTCACTGTTGCCTGGACCTAGAATATTGTTTTTCTTTCCTCTCTTTTATTTTACAGGAATGAAAAAAAATCTTATCTCTGAGCTAAAAGTGATTTGTAATTGGGATCGTCTGTTCCAGCACTATTTCCGTTTGATACACTGTTTTTTTTTTAATTAAACAAATTACATTTAAACCAAGTGACTTTCAGTCCATGCCTAAGTGCATGGAACTCAGGGAGGAGGCCAACAGTCACCTCTTTCATCACCAGGGTGGAGTCGGCCAAACTGGTGGGCCAGGCAGCATCAGCTTCTGTCCACACAACCTCCTTGTACGTCCCTCTTGGTGCAGCCTTATTCCTGTACCTCTCTCCTCCAACTACCTCATCATTACGGCTGCCACAACTGTAGAAAGCACTTGAGGAATTTTACAGGCTGGTGAAATTATTCTGCAACCTCAGTTTTAAAAAATATATCTTCCAGACATTTCTCCTCTCCAAGTTTTGATTAATTATATCTTGAAATGCATGCTTCCTTTTAAAATGAGTCATTGAAAACTTGGCCTTAATAATCAAATAATACTTTCCAAGTAGTATTAAAACGCCTTGGTTCAAGTTACCGTTAAACACTGTTCTTAAACCTTAGATTTCTTTCAAATGAAAGATAATCCTTTTGTTGTTAGTTTGTTCCAAGGTTTGTTTCAGTGTGAGAAATTAATGCTTGGAATATTGGTGAATCCTGCCCAATCCCCTTAACCCCTGCTTTTTTGGGTTTGCAGAGACCAAGAAAAAACAAGATGTCTGAGTTACGAAATAATAAGCAGTCAATTCGACTTTTAAAGGTAAGTAGTAGTATTGCAAATTTGCCTTCTTTGCAGAAAAATAATGACTAAAATAATTTGTAGCTACGTCTTTAAGAGCCATCAGAACATGGATTATTCTCATATATTCTGTAATGATTAATATTCTGTTAAATATTTTTATTGCTTTTGGAGCCATCCGTTTTTGTCTTCTGTCTTGTATGATAAACCTTCTAAGAATGGGAAACAAGGAAATACCACATCTTTACTTTTTGCCTAATATCCTTGCCCTGTCCTTGGTGGTTAAGAGTGACTGAAATCCAGAGTCACTTCAAATACTAAAAACACTGTTCTGCAACCATGCTAATACCTTTCAATTCCTATGAGCAACAGGTTATTAATAATTTAGCAGAAATCATTCTGTTTAAAGAGACTTCAGAAGTTTGGTAGTTGTATATCTTCTGAGCCGTGATGAAGGGGAAAATTAGGAACTCTGGCCTCTGCTAATCTTCCGGCATTGCCTCATGTTTTTCTTGATGATATCAACATCTAAGTAATTGAGGAAGAAGATCTCAACGGCTTTCTGTCTTGTAAGTGGTTGTGTTTAAACTCTTCCCCAAAGACCTGGTGACGAGGCGAATTTTGGTCAGGGAATCCTTTTGGTCAGAATCCTTTTCTAGTTGACATCCTTCACTGCCCTAGTCCAATAACTTATCTGCTTATATGTCTTCTTGCTCTTTTTTTTTAAACATCTTTTATTGCTTTATAATCATTTTACAATGTTGTGTCAAATTCCAGTGTAGAGCACAATTTTTCAGTTATACATGAACATATGCATATATTCATTGTCACATTTTTTCCTCTGTGAGCTACCATAAGATCTTGTGTATATTTCCCTGTGCTGTACAGTATAATCTTGTTTATCTATTCTGCATTTTGAAATCCCAGTCTATCCCTTCCCACCCCCGACCCCCTTAGCAACCACAAGTTTGTATTCTATGTCTATGAGTCTGTTTCTGTTTTGTATTTGTTTTTTTGTTTGTTTGTTTGTTTTTAGATTCCACATATGAGCGATCTCATATGGTATTTTTCTTTCTCTTTCTGGTTTATTTCACTTAGAATGACATTCTCCAGGAGCATCCATGTTGCTGCAAATGGCGTTATGTTGTCAGTTTTTATGGCTGAGTAGTATTCCATTGTATAAATATAGCACATCTTCTTTATCCAGTCACCTGTTGATGGACACCCAGGCTGTCTCCATGTCTTGCTCTTTTTTCTGACTAGGCTTTAGATCCATTCCTTGATTTAAGAATAAAACTACAGCCGCCTGATTCGTAACTTGTTAGTATTCTGGACTCTGCTGGCGGCAATCACTTAACTTTACTCCTCTACCCAGCGTGCTGGCCTTTTGTGGTCCCCCCAGCTCCCACATCTGTATACCAATCTTTCAAGTTTTCTCTGATTGCTCAGCTTTCCAATTTCTCTTGGCTTTTCTTTCCTAGATTTTCCCTAGTCATCATCTTCTGTTTTTCTGGAGGTGACCTGCTCTTTTACAAGTCCACTCTCTTCCTTTCTACAGCATCATTATCCTCAAGCTTCCAACTGCTTAAAAATGTGATGGCTATGCTTTCCTGTTGTTCTGAGAAGCCTTCTTCTCAGACACTTCTTACAGGACACTGGGACTGTAAAGGGATTTATTCTAACCACTTCATTTTAGGATGAAAGAAACAGAAATCTATAAGGACAAGTTACCAAAATTCAGCTGGTAATCAACCACAGGGCCAAGATTAAACTAAAGGTTTATTTTATTGCAAACAGCTGGAGAATCCAGCCTTGGCTCCCACTGATATAATCTCTGCTCCCAGAAGTCTGCAGAGTTTTATCTACACCAGGATCCGTTTCTTCCAGTTGGCATAGCCCTGAGCAGGGTGTCCCTGAAATGCAAAGGATGGGATCTGAAACCTGTCACAGGCATTAGCAACCAGCATGTCTACAATTCAAGTACCCTTCACTTCCTGTAGCCAGAAGGGACTTCTACTCAGTACTGAACATGCAGACAAGCTGGAAAGGGGGACATTTTATTACATACAAAAATGAGGATTTTTCGTTACTGTTGGTTTTGGTTGGGAAAAAGATGTTCTGGATCCTCTCATAGGATATTGAATAACATAATTTTGGCAAAAAGTTTTAGTTTTTGTTGGTCTTCCTCAGTCATTATTTTGCTTGACTACCACGGTCACGAATTTGTTCACTGAGCCTCTCTGTGGGAGATTCTTCGGTACTTCTGATTGTGTGTGGTTGGTTTTTGTTTTGTTTTGTTTTGTTTTGTTTTGTTTTTAACCCACACTGTTTTGAAAAGTTCTAGGCTTCTTGAGATCCCTTCCTTCTGTCTTCTCAGAGCCTCTACCCCCCATCAGGTGGACATCTTTAGAATGGTCCATCAATGGCTCTCAGAATATTTCTGGAGCCTTTCCTTCAATATTGCAGTCAGCTCCTGAGCCTGGAGAGTCGGTTCATGGAGAGCTGTTCAGAGACAAAGCCATCGTGCAGTGCTCACTGGTACTCATGACCACTCCTTGGTGACTCGTATTGTTATGCACTCATACAGCATTTCATGATTTTCACATTATCTTGTTTGAGCCTATGAGGTAGGCAGTGCTGGTATCATTTCTGTTTTATGGTTGAAGAAACTTCAGCTCAGTGAGATTCAGTGACTCACCCAAAGTCACTTAGATAGTACGTGGCAGAGTTAAGACTAGAATCTGAGCCTAATGCCAGTGCTTTGCCACACCTCTCTGCCAATCAAGCATTAAGATTATCTTTGCCTTATTGACCCCCTCAACTTGTTGGAAAGGCAAAAACAGCACACATTTAGAAGTAAGACTAGAAAAAGACGTTTTCATTCATGAAAAAAAGGAGTTGGGTACCATGAGACTCTTAAGACCTCTCCATACACCCAAAAAGATTCAAGTCCTATCTTCAAAATTGCTAACTTCAGAGTGTCAATTATTGGTACAAACACAGCACATCAGAGTTTAATTTCAAGAGTCTTTGACTCCTAATTGCATTTTTACGTTAATCACGTTTCTAAGCTACCAGTGAATAAATCCATGCAGTCACGCTTGGAGTCACAGCTCTCAAATGCCCTCTTTGGTCAGAACTTTGCAAGGAATATGTGAGACCTTCTGCTGTCTGACTAATGGGCAGTGCAGATGGGTGATGCCACAGAAGGCTGCAGAAACAACTTCCCACAGGTTAAAGTAAAGAACTCTGGAAAAGCCAAGCAATTTCCCTTCGTGTCTGCCACCTGCCATAGGAACTCCCAGACTTGCTAGGACACACTGAGGAATCTAGGGCAGAGAAGAAAGAGGGGGAAAGGTGCAGGGGCAGAAGTGGGACTTGCATATCACCAGCACTGTCCTCAAGGGTGTGAAATTGCTTAGGACCAGAGAAGGCAGCACCAAAATTGCAGACATGGGATGTTGAGTTCACAACTGGCAAAAGCTCCTGTACTTACAAGGCACGCCTGTGTATTGCACTGGGCACTCCTAGTGAAGTCCTGGTGATGGAGTCCTTCCGTGCGCCGAGCTGCGTTCACACATCACCCACTGTTCTGAGTGGTCCAGACTGGACAACTCAAACATGGAGTGTATTTCTCGGACCCTGGCAGGAACTTTCCAGTAGCAATTTCTCCTCTTGGAGCCAGTTTTTATGAGTGAAGAGTCAGTATTTAACAGCACAGAAAAGGAGGACTAATGTTTTTAATTGTTTAGTTTGTTTTTAATTGAAATATAGTTGCTGTACAATGTTATATAAGTTACAGGTGTACAATAATAGTGATTCACAATTTTTAAAGGTTCTACTCCATTTATAGTGATTATAAAATATTGGCTGTATTTCCTGTGCTGTACAATGTATCTTTGTAGCTTATTTTATATGTAATAGTTTGTACCTCAATCCTCTACCCCTACATTGCCCCTCCCAACCCTTCTAGTGGTAACCACTAGTTTGTTTTCTACATCTGTGAGGCAGCTTCTTTTTTGTTTTATTCACTAGTTTGTTTTATTTTTTAGATTCTACTTGCAAGTGATATCATACAGTATTTGTCCTTCTCTGTCTTATTTCACTTAGCATAATGCCAGGAGGACTAATATTTAATCCTCTTTAATATGAAACCTTGCTAAAGGAGTTTTGAAAGTCTAATGATTAAATTTTCTGATGTCAGTGTTTTCTATCTCTATTTTGTTGTATATTCCTTTCATCCATGTTCTAATCTTTTTCTCCTCTCAGCCCTGAAAGTGGTCTGTTTCCAGAGTTCTTTAGTCGGTTGAAATTTCATGAATGTTTGTTTCCCATAACCTCCTCCCTTTGAAGTCGGTCAGCCACCCTGGAATCCTCTATCTTCCCAACCTCACCTAAGTGTGTCACGGTTAGGTTGTACAGGAGGAGTAAAAAGACCTGCGATCTAGACTCTCCACCATGGTGGGTCAGCGGTATTCCGTAGCTTAAAGGAAACCAATTGTCTGTGCGGATGTCTCCAGCTCCATTTCCACAGAGGAGGACATAAACATCTCAGGCTGAGAAGTCTCCTGCTAGGACTCCCCGAAAAAAACTCAAGCAGTTGCACACAGAGAAACAAAACTTTCTCTTCTTTGTTATATTTTTGTGTGTGTTACCTGGTGTATATTAAATCTGCGGCACATCTGAGATGTTTAATGGAAAAGATAATTAGGTTCTACTCAAGTACCACCAAGAAGGATCTGAAGAGTGTGAACATTTAGCAATGACTCATTAAGCTGATTGTCTCAGAATAATTTTGATCTTCATATTTAAGGCCAGAAATAAACAGCATCCGTGACCAGCTAGGGAAATAGCTAAGTTGCTTAGGAGTCAAAGAACCTTGCACATCATAAATCAGCATTAGAACAGGAACCTCAATGAGCACACACATCACAAAGCTGAGTTAGAAGGAGGAAAAAAATGAGTAATCCTTTCATCCTGGCAAAAGGTGAGGCACCAGAGAATAATTTCCTCCCTCCTGTTATTGTCCTCCACCCATGAGTATGTTCTGGAACTGCTGTTTCCTGGCCTTAAGTCTAGTGTGAAGGAAAGACTCTGATCATCTCTGCTTTATTTTGCTATGACAGTTTCAGCTTACCTACAGTCTGTGTTACATTTCACCGTGCGTTGCCATTTTATCTTTTGCTCAGGACGATAACATCCAAGTCTAGAGAACCACACAAGGATGCCTGACGTGACACAGCCTGCCTTCCACGCAGGACGGGAAGCCGGCAGCAAAGGAGAACGTGGCTTCTCTTAGGAAAGATCATTCCTCGGGACTTTACTGTAACTGTTTCTTAAAGAAGGAGATGGAGTTTGTGGACAAGTTAAAACATTTGTTTTTCTAGGCTGCTAAGAAGAAAAACATTGTTCAAGAGCAAAACCATCCCAGTTTTCATTAAGTTTCTTAAGCACTGACTTCAGGCTTTTATACCCTGCCCAGCTGTTAGGTCTGTCTACAACGTCTGCCGTTTCTGCAGATGCGTTTTCCAAAAAGCACATGTTTCAGGAATTCTGAATCACATGGTGTATCTGATTCTCTACGCTTAGAATTTGTCTCCTTAAAGCAGGCATTAATTTGCCTTCCTAATGATTGGAAGTAACAGATGAAGTTTCTACAGAGTGGCTAGTTGGGGGTTTTTTAAACTTGCCTGCACTTCTCTCAGATTCAGCCAAAATCATCCCCTCTTCCACCGTGTGATACTCGGTACAAAATCTCATGGACAGGGAATGCCAAGAACGTTTTAATTAAATAATCTGATGAAGCTACCTTTCTAAAAAAACTCACTTATTATTCTTTAGCAATCTTATTCTGTACCTATCAAGAGTGTAGAAGTTGAAAACCTAGTGACTATGTTCATGTTTAATGCTGACCCACTTTACAGTCAGAAGGTATGGTTGTTTCGGTCTCAGAACAAATCCTGTCTATACCTTGTAGCCCAGCTTAATTTCATTTAATTTATGTTTATTTATATGACATATTCAGGGAGATGAGGTATATACAGTCTTGGAATGTGAGGATGGGCAAGGAAAGTGAGGATTTTTCCCCATTATACTCTGTTTGAAAAATAAAGGAACGTAAAATAACCCAAAAATCCATTAGTGGTCACCATTGACGTTGGTTTTATTATATCCAAATATCAAGGGCTAAAAATACCTTATTTTTAGAAAGTCATGTACCAAGGGACTCAAACATATACTTATATACCAACATTTACAGCAACATTATTCATAATAGCCAAAAGGTGAAAACATCCCAGGTGTCCACCAACAGATGAATGGATTTATAAAATCTCATATATATGTATAACAATATTATTCATCCATTAAAGAAATAAAATTCTAATATATGGTTTAAGATGGATAAATCTTGAAAATATTATGCTAAGTGAAATAAGCCAGACTCAAAAGGACAAATATTCTGATCCCATTTGTCTGAGGCACATAGACTAGGCAATTTCACAGAAATGGACAGCACAGAAGAGTTTACCAGGGGCAAGGGCAAGGGGAGAATGAGGAGTTGCTGTTCAGTGGGTACAGAATCTCTGCTCAGGATGATGAAAAAGCTCCAGAAATAGTGATGACGGTTGCACAATATTGTGAATGTACTTAATGCTACTTAAAAATAGTTAAAGTGTGGGGGAGGGTATAGCTCTGTGGTAGAGTGCGTGCTTAGCATGCATGAGGTCCTGGGTTCAATCTCTAGTACCTTCATTAAAAATAAATATATAAATCAATAAATAAGCCCCCCAGAAAAAAATGTTTAAAAAAAGGGGGTTGGGTAAAGCTCAGTGGTAGGGCACGTGCTTAGCACGCACAAGGTCATCGGTTAGATGGCCAGTACCTCCATTAAACATAAATAAATAAATAAATAAACCTAATTACCTCCTCCCCTCAAAAAAACAAAACCAAAAAAAAAATTTTTTTAATAGTTACAATGATAAACAAAACTAATAAATTCTGATCAGTATTTCCAAGATGGAAAACAAAAGGCATACGCCAGTCTAAAGCGTCTGAGAAGACTGACATTGCTTGACAAAGTAATGTACTTTTTGGTTTGATACAAAGAAGATTCACATGAACTCCTGCATAATGATGCAGCATAAATATTTTCTAGTCACCAGGCCACACCGATCACATTATTTTCTCGAGCCTCTGGACACCCAGGAGTAGACGTGTTCATTTTCAGATAACTGTCAGTCACACCTCCTGCCACTTTGAACCATTAAGTGTGATCTTTGAATTACATGCTGGCTCGATCGTGTAGGCTCTTCTATCTGTTCCATGTTACTATAGAAACTGTGTCGTCATGGTGCCGTGAGGAGACTGCAAGAGCATCTGAGAGGGTACAATAAAAGTTAACTTATTCCATGGTTCATAATTTCTTCCAGCTGCTGCCATTTGTGATGCTCATGTTCACATTGGGAGTATAAACATACAACCAAAAGGGTTCTGGGAACCAAAGCCAACAAGCTATCTCACCCGTGCAGGCTTGCCTCCCGACCTCCTTCCCTCAAAGATTTGTGATGGAAGCACATGAAAGAAACAGCATATGAGGCTCAGGTGTTTCCAATTATTTCCCACGTACAAGCAGAGGCTCCCTAATCCAAAACATATTGCAGCTCAAATCATCTTCGTTATATTTGAAGATTGTGCAGCTTCAGGAGAATTTCATCTGCCCACCTCTGATTCATTGACACTTCATCAATGACTAGATCTCCTCTGAGCTCTTCTGTAAGAGCATGTCCTCTCTGGGTGGTCAAAAGTGTGGTACATTCAAGTATTGCTTATTTTTGTGACGCGCACTCTTAGGAAGTGTATAACCTTTTGCCCTTGCAAGAAAAAGAGAAATAAATGCTCAGCGTAGGAGATTCCTTGTCAGTGACATCACCATGGAGAGTTCCAGCACAATGCCTCGACTGTCTTCCTGCTCGGGGACTCTCTCTGAACGGTTATGGAAGGGGAAGACAGACCCACCTCTGCCGGTATAAATCATTAACTGCCTAAGTGTTAATACTCAGGCAAGACTATTCAGGGATTACAAAGAAAGAATGTGGGTTTGGAGCATTTCGTTTTCCTAAATTTCTTGAATGAACATTATAAGATTGATCGTTGGGGCTCCAGCAGCCTTGGATAGCAGTGAGCTTTGGTCTTGAGGTCCCAGAAATCTGCCCCTTCATTATTGCCTCCGCAAGTTGGAGGCAGTGCTCTGTTTGTAATCCCCTTACAGGAATTAATGAGGGTTATTTCATAAAGCATCTGAATAATGGGCATTGTTAAATAATATTCATTGTTTAGGGAAACAAATTCATCTACAGATGGATGAACTACATGAATTACAATGAAAATAAACCCAAAGCTGTACCTACCGTTGACGACTCCCCAAAATAGATGAATATTTTCAGCCCTACCGCAACGCTTTTTCTCTTCCTCTCTCACCCCACATACACACATACACACTTTATGATTTTGGCATGAAATAGTGAAAGAAATTGTGAAAGGATAAACACTGTACTGATGATGAAGTGTTTTTGGTTAATTGCCAGTGAGCTTTGTAGAGGAATCCAAATTTTCAGCTCAGCATCAGGGCTAGAGTTCTTTTAGGGGGTAAACTTCTACTCTTGGCACCTAACCCCAAGTCCAAGTAGAGGAGGCGTTAGAATCCAGCCATCAGAGTAAGTTTTAAAATGTGTGGTAACAATACAGCTTTGTGCTTAGATTTATATAAATGGTTACTAACCAATTATCTATGTTTACAAAAATACGGACTGGAAATCTATCTCTATAGGCATATTCATAACATAGTCATATTCTTCGGAATACATTACAAAACAAACCAGATGCAAGCAGAAATTTTGTTTTTAGAGGAGTTTTATTTTCCTAATATTTTACTGTTCTTAGACTAAAGACAGTTTCAGTATGTTGAATGCCATGAAATTACCAGCCTGTTGTTTATATTTTTACCCTAGTATGAGAAATGTAAAGCTTTTGAAATTGCTTGAAAGCAGAATTGTCTGTTCTAAATAGGTTGTGTTTGTGTCTGTGTCGTGGTCCTGAGAAAGAGGCCAATATGATTGCCAGGCAGCCAGATTTTGCCTTACTATCAACAGATTGCAAAGGTGAGTAATAACCCTCTACTCTGCCTTCTGTCTGCATTACATATTACATTTTATATTAGTTAACTGATAATTAATATAAGTCTAGAAAGACGAACATAGTAACCATGAGCAGAGATACACAGGAAATGATTTTCAAGCTCGTGTCTCATACTTCTCGCTCTGCTGAGAACGGGAGCCACAAGGAACTCAGGGAGGGGTATGGAGTGGGGAAGACACCTATTCTCAAGATGGCTCATTCACATGGCAGGCAAATTGGTGCTGACCACACATTCATGTCCAAGTTGGCCTCTCCACAAGGCAGCTTGGGCTTCCTCACACCAGTTATCTAGGTTCCAAGAGTGAGTGTCCTAAGAAACAGGAAGTGGAAGTTACCAATTTCTTAAGATCTGGAGGCAGAAGATGACTCTGACATGTTTTACTAGTCAAGTGCCTAGAGAGTGTACACTCAAGGTGAGGGGACATTGACCCCTCTTCTCTATAGGGGGCCTTATTTTAAAACCACCAATACGTGTAAATCACCAAGAAAAAACACAATTTTCAACTTGATTTTGCCCTTTTAATCTCAACTGGACCACGTCTGCCCCAATCTTGGAAAATTAAGTACATCCCCAGTCTCAATTGGTGAACCCACTGCATCCTGATGTTTCAAAGAATCACAGCAAAACAGGCAAGAAATTGTGACCTTACCTTTATTTGGGGTAAGTTGTACATATCAGTGAAGCAAGAGAAATCTGAAATCAGAAAACTTCCCTGAAGCCATAACTGGCTATAGAGACTATAAATTACCTCTTAATATTTTGCATCACCTTTCAGGAATCCCTCAACATTTTCCCCTCTTAAATCACTAAAATCTATGCGGTTAAGCTGTAGATATATCTTGAAAGGCTTGTAGTTGTCTGTTGAACTTGTATTTTGCAAGCTTATTTTTCCCTATCATGCATTCTTTTTTTTTTTTTTGAATCAAAAAAGAATTTTATTTCTTGTACCAAAAAAAGATGGAGGAACACGTTGCATCAAATAAAGCAGGCAAAGGGTTAACATCTCTAATATAAAAAGAATTCCTATCAATTTCTAAGAAACCAGAAAATAACCCAATAGAAAAATAGGTAAAGACACCTATCATGCGTTCTTAGCCACCAGTGTTTTTGAGCATCTATTATATATGCCAAGCAATGGAATTTTTAAAGATGCGTGATTCCTGCTTTTATGGGAATCATAGACCAGTGGGAAAGATAGTTTTGTAATAAAATAATCAAGGAAGTACAGCAGTAAGGCTAAATATCAAATCTTGTGTGTCCTTTGGAGAATTAAGAATTCCAGACAGGTGCCATGGAGCTGATTCTAAGGGACAAGTGAAGATGCTTCAAGCCAATGGGTCAACCCGTGCGGGAAATAAATGGAAGGCACTGAGTGGTTTGGGGAAATGGTCGTTCATATTGGTGTGCATAGGATATGGAATGAAAGAAGGAACGAGTTGATGAGACTAGAAAAAAGTAGATTGAGCCAAACCATGAGCTTTGTGTTCTGGGGCCAAGTGTTTGAACTTGCTCCCATATGTTACAGAAGAGAAGTAGTAATTCCAGCTTCTCCTTTGGCATCTGGCAGCCCATTGGCTAGTGAAATCCAAGGTAGAATCTATTCCACTATAATATGGTGGTTATTTTTCTCAGAAACCTCAACTTTTCCAAATTTGCTTTTTATAAGACTTGTTTTATTAAAAAAATTTTTTTTCAATATGAGAGAGAGAAAAAAAAGCTATGGAGTAGAGCATTTCTAGCTACACATGTACGGTTACAAAAGCCAAAGCTCATTGAGCAGATACGGTGTTTGGTTATATGGAGCTCTGGCTTCAGAGGAAAGGTCTGTCTTTGCTGTCAGCATAGGCTTCTTAAAATGCTTCTCCCCTCCATCATCCGCTGCTAGAACAAAGCACACGAACCCTCAAGGAAGGCAGCCATGGTCAGTGTGATGGCTCC